GGATTGCTTTTGTAATAAGCGAAAGATAGATCGTCTGTATATTATACAAAATAATAATAACAATATATTAATTAGGGAGTTAACTCGTATTATAAATGAGACACCAAATAGGTCCGGACCGCGAATATTAATTTTAAATGGTGTCCATAAAATCGACGATCATGAGACAAAACGTATAATATTAAACGACTATCATCTATTGCCAACTAGCGGTCACGCCGGTATAAGGCGAATGATAAACAATATAAAGAAAAGATTCTTTTGGCCCGGGTGACTGATGATGGATGTGACTAATTATGTAAACCAATGTGACAAGTGTTTGCGATATAAGCACTTAAATAAGCATATAAAAGAACCAATGGTGATAACCGATACGGGATATTCTGCTTTTGATAGAGTTTATTTAGATTTAGTAGGGCCCTTATGTAAAGATAGCGATAGTAATGTTTATATACTCACACTACAGTGTGATTTAAGTAAGTATGTTGAAGCCTATCCGCTTAAACATAAGGATACTATTTCAGTGGCATCGTCTTTTATCAATAATTTTATTTTGAGATATGGTATTCCTCGACAAATAATATCTGACCAAGGGACCGAATTTGTTTCAACCGTCATGAAAGACGTGTGCCGTATTCTCAAAACGCAACAGGTAACGTCAACAGCATATCATCACCAATCTATAGGTTCCTTAGAAAACAGCCACAAAAATCTAATGTCATTTCTCAGAATTCAAACAGGTAATGAACCACATAACTGGAGCACTTGGTTACCGTATTGGTGTTTTGGTTATAATAACACTGTACACACGGAAACCAAGTATACTCCATATGAGCTTGTTTTTGGGAAGCTTTGCCGTTTGCCAACTAATTTAACTTTAGATATAGAGCCCTTATATAACCCATATGATTATCCACAACAACTTAGATATAGACTTCAAAAATCGCAATACGATGCAAGAAATAATTTAATTTTAAGCAAACAAAGTAGGAAAACAAAGTATGATTACTATACCAATCCAATTAAATATAATGTCGGTGATATGATACTCCTTAAGAATGAACAATGTGTAAACAAATTTGATCCTCTTTATATAGGACCATTTAAGGTTATCGAAGATTGTGAACCAAATGTAACAATAGATTACAAAGGTAAACATAAGTCAATACATAAAAATCGCACTAGACCATATACATAAAACAATAAAATTGTTATTATTACTATAAATACAAATAAAATTAATTAAAAATTACTGTGTTTACGATTTTTTTTTATTATGATATAAGTATGTTATAGTATAAGAATTTTAATACTTTGTAATGTACACCTTTTATATAATTTTTTTTTATAAACCAAGTTATGTTACATTTAAGAAAAAAAAAATATTTTTGTAAATGATTTTTTTTTCTTTTTGCCGATGGGCGTGTAGTGTGTGCTTATATACAACGTGTCCCAAAATTCAACGATAAGCCAACACCGGAGGATAGACCTGCCCCGGACTAATCGGGTAAAAAAAGAAAAAAAAATATATCCCAATTATATTTTAAGTTATATAAAAAAAATGAAATTCTTCAGAAATTGAGACCGTTTATGATATTTTTCACTACCATGACCACAATTTTTTAAATATTTTTTTCTTTTTTTTTTATAGGCAACCTGAATAGTACTGCTATCTACCACAATTCTTAAAAACTCCAGAATAACTCTTGTTTTATCACGAAAATTAATGAAACTTATTTTATTCCCTAAATTTTTTGAAGACTTTTACTTTTAACCAAATTTAACTTATTATGGCAAGTTTTTTTAAAAATTGACGCAACTAACCAATATTCCAAAATGGTATAATACTCTAGGAAAACAAGTTATAAAAAAATATGGGCCTATTATTTCTTAACAGGGGCCAAATGACGGTCGGGTGTAATAAAAGTATTATTTCTTGAAAAATGTTTAATATTTCAAAACAAATGGTACAAACAGTTTCACGTGTAATTTATTAAGTTATTAACATTATAGCAAATGTTCGAACTGTTTGCCACCAGCATTAATACATGCACGACATCGCCTTAAAAATGATCGTTTTATTTGTCTTGCATATCTTCTGCTATTAATGTAATCAGCAGCCTGAGTGATATTTCGACGAAGCTCGTCCAATGTCACAATGGGTTTTGAGTAGACCCTGTTTTTAAGACAACCCCAATAGAAGAAGTCCAGGGGGTTCAAATCGGGTGAACGGGGTGGCCATAAGATAGGACCAAGTCGCCCGATCCAACGCCCTGGATACTCTTATCGGATACTTTAAATATTCTCGCACAGGACGGGCATAATGTGCTGGGCAACCATCATTTTCGAACCACATGTTTTGAAGATCACTTAAGGGCACGTCGTTTAACAATTCTTGCAAGTCATTTTGTAAAAAGTTTAAATAACTATTGCCATCTAAGTTTCCTTGTAACTCAAAGGGCCCAATTACTTTTCCATTTAATATGCCGGTCCATAGGTTAACCTTGAATTGATATTGGGATTTGTCTTGTCTCATCAAGTGTGGATTTTCATTACTCCAACTATGTAGATTGTGAAGATTTAAATACCCATCTTTCTTGCACGTTGTTTCATCCGACCATAGAATTTTGTCTAGGAAGTGGGGATCTTCACTGTGCCTTTGCAGCATTACACGGCAAAATGTGACCCGTAGCGGATAGTCCCGCGGTAATAACGTCTGCACACGCCTGTAGTGATATGGGTGAAGCTTGTGACGTTTTAATATTCGATGTGCAGAACTTTTCGGGATTCCTGTAGCTTCTTCTATGGCACGTACCGAAGTAGTCGAGTTATTTTCTATCTCCTTGAGAACTTCTTCATCACGATCCAATCTAGGTCTTCCAGCGCTGCTCCTATTGGATGGCATACGACCCTCCGAAAACGCTTGATGCACATTAATAAACACTCGATAATCAGGATATCTTTGAGCATTTGGGTATCTTTCTGGATACAGTCTGCTAGCAGCGTTAGCATTACATCGGCATTCTCCATAGATTAAATGCATATTAGCGTATTCCTGTGGTGTGTACGGTTGCGGCATGTTAAACGCCAAACAGTCCAAAATGCGCCAGAACTCTAAATCACAAAACACACAATCGTAGTCCAAGATAATGCCAGGTCAGTTCAGTTTGCAGATCACTTCCAGTCCAAATAATGCCAGGTCAGTTAAGTTTGCAGGTCGATTCCAGTCCAAAAAGCCAAGCCAAAAGTCGATAGTATGTACGAGGGCCACGTTAGTTGAATTGGGTACGGTGCGCAGTAAACAAAGGAGCAGAGCGTACTGAACCGACTTGCTGAGAATAATAACAGCTTCTCTACCTGCCCTGTTGTTGTCTCTTTTTAACGTAAATATCTCTATCTATCTCTCTCTAACATCTAAGGTATTAATGCCCCATTCGAATTCCTAGAAATTGTAACAGGAACCCATTTTGGGCATGTAGTAAGTGATTACTGACAATTACAATTTAAGGAATTTGGCCCCTGTTAAGAAATAATAGGCCCATATTTTTTTATAACTTGTTTTCCTAGAGTATTATACCATTTTGGAATATTGGTTAGTTGCGTCAATTTTTAAAAAAACTTGCCATACTAGTGTTCATACTTTTTTTTTACACCACGATAAGTTAAATTTGGTTAAAAGTAAAAGTCTTCAAAAAATTTAGGGAATAAAATAAGTTTCATTAATTTTCGTGATAAAACAAGAGTTATTCTGGAGTTTTTAAGAATTGTGGTAGATAGCAGTACTATTCAGGTTGCCTATAAAAAAAAAAGAAAAAAATATTTAAAAAATTGTAGTCATGGTAGTGAAAAATATCATAAACGGTCTCAATTTCTGAAGAATTTCATTTTTTTTATATAACTTAAAATATAATTGGGATATATTTTTTTTTCTTTTTTTACCCGATTAGTCCGGGGCAGGTCTATCCTCCGGTGTTGGCTTATCGTTGAATTTTGGGACACGTTGTATATGTAGGATAGAATAAGAGAGAGTTAGTATTAAACCTACCGTCTAGACTATTGGACGTTTTATTTATTCCCCGAACCACCCAACACTACAAAACTGAACACGCGTATCGTATACAAGGCTTCTGCACTCGTACTGAAGAGACAAACAAAATGGCGGTCGTGATCACGAGGTAGACGCAGTGTTGACAGATTTTCACTCGCGAAAAGAATCTGTCTATAATCGATTTTATACGATTCTTTTAGTCACGTCACTATGTAAAAAAGTAAAAATAAAACTACGTTCTAAGAAGTGTCAAAAGGGACTTCGTAATTGGAATAGAGTATAAGCTCGAAGTTGTTGACGAGTATGTTTACCCTGGGACAAATAGTCCGACTAGGTAAGTCCAACTTCGACCGAGAGGTCAATCGACGGATTCAACTCGGTTGGGCAGCGTTCCGGAAACTACGACACATCTTCTCGTCAGACATACCTCAAAACCTTAAAACGAAATTGTAAAACCAGTGCGTGTTGCCAGTGATGACATACGGAACTGAGACGTGGTCCTTCACTGCTGGCCGGATGAGGAAGCTCAAGGTCGCTCAGCGAACTATGGAGAAGGCTATGCTCGGAGTTTCTCTGCGTGATACACTCAGAAATGAGGAAATCCGCAGTAGAACCAGAGTGACCAACATAGCCCAACGGATTAGTAAGCTGAAGTGGCAATGGGCCGGCCATATAGCTCGAAGAACCGACAACCGATGGGGAAGAAAGGTTCTCGAGTGGCAGCCTGGTACCGGCAGGCGAAGTGTTGGGCGTCCCCCCACTAGATGGAGTGACGACCTGGTAAGATATGCAGGAAGTCGATGGATGCAGGTGGCTCAGGACCGTGCTTTGTGGCATTCCTTGGCAATGTTCAGCAGTGGACTTGTGAAGGGTTGTAATGATGAATGATAATGATGATGTGTTCAAATGAGGTATGGTGAGGTGGGTTAGATAGCAGATAGCAGGTACGTACTGTGCGAGCGGGTCGCCGATGCCGGAGTCGAGGCTGAGCTCGGAGTGCACGGAGGCGTGCATGTCGCGCATCTCGCGGTGCAGGCTGGCGGGCAGCGCGGCGGGCAGCAGGCCGGCGGCCGCGGCCACGCTCGGCATGAGGCCGCGCGCCGGCTCGCCGCGCCGCCGCGCCGCGCGCAGCTGCTCCTGCGCCTCCGCCAGGTGCGCCGCCACCTCTGCGTAACGCTCCTGACAAATTACCCACGTTCGCTTGTCATCACACAAACGCAAGTTGTTACCGGTACAATCTACTAAAGTCCACCGCTAGACAACGGCCTCCCCTCATAGGGGGGATATTTGTCATAGTTGCCACGCTTGGCAAGCGGGTTGACGACCGTAATTTTTAATTTTTAGTCATTATTGTGAAGTTGCTCCCCCATCTCCTGATTTGTTTTCCTCTATCGCCTCTTACGACACCCACGGGATGATATGGGGTAGTGGATATTCTTACACCACCACATTCCAACCTGATTTAATACAAACTTATTCTCACTTTATTCCCAGAACCTTCTAATACCAGTTCTTTATTGATATTTTTGAAATTGAGCATAAATAAATAGCTTATTCGCGTTTTAAATGTTGCCATACTCAATATATCTCCATCGTCCCGTGGGCGTCGATAAATGCAACAGAGAGAAACAAACCACGATTTTGGTGGCAACATCTTCCTAATAACATCTAGAGAATAAAAAAGCTGTAGTATATGAGGCAATTTAAACGCAGGCCTATATTGTATGAATTCGGGTTTTATTTTTTTATTGTAAATTTCTTTCTCTATAAAAAAATATTTTTTTTTTCATTTACTTTTATGTATTTTTGCTACACCTAACATGCTTAACGTAAATATTTATCATAGGGAAGATTTTATCGTTTAAGTGTGTTATATGAGTACAGACTAAATAGGGATTTACTCAAGCGTCGTGGGGACCTATTGGATAGTGAAGATTAGATGCTAAAAAGAAAAAAAGGATATATGATGTATGCGCTTTCACTGGTGCGAGCGTGTACAGGTATAAAAAATGTAAAAAAAAAAACAGTCACAAATAAATACTCGGGCGCTTCAGATATTGATAGTGTATACGCCCCACGTGTTACTGATAACTGAGAAATATTAATCTGCCAGTTTGCATAGTGGGGGTGGCCGTATGAAGAGGTAGAAAAGAGGAAAAAAAAGTATTTATTTGAACGCGTCAGATATTGAGAACGGATGTTAAGTGAAACCTCGAGTAGCTCCTATTCACTTATGATTTGGACGCAACCAAAAGTCGATTTTTGAACATGCAAAAAGTATCGTGATATTGAAATACTCGAGCGCGTCAGATTATTATACAGGCGCTTCTTCTTAATGTCGTTGTCGTACTGACCCATAATCTGACAATTATGTGGAGGAATTTCCTTAATCCGACGGTTGGAAAAAAATTCTAAAATTTATAATTTTTTTGAAAATTACTGAATGTAATAAATACAATATAAAACATATACAGGTAAAATTACATAAACGTACACAGGTAAAATGCTATCCAGAATTTAGAAATAACATTGGTAAATTAGAAAAAAATATTAAAATAATTTCTTCATCGTCAGTGGAATCATCTTCATATTCGAAGTTCGGTTCGACTTGGTAGTTTTCATCTACGATCGAAAACTTCATTAAATGTGCCGCGGGATTTTCTGCGAACCGGTTTACTTCGACGATACACCAAAACCAACTTGCATTTTTTTAATGTTTCAGACGTAAATTTTATTATTTTTTCAAATGTTTTTTGTCCATAAAATACAACTTTGTCCATAAATTCGAACTATTATCACTCATTGTTGTAACATAATATATCAAACTTACTGCACTGGATTCAATAAACACTTTTAAAACATAATAAAAACAAAAACGTTGCACATGCACGCGTTGTTGTGATCAGCTGTGATGGCATTATACAACGGAACGTACTATGGAGACGGTGCAGAGAGTGAGAGATACAGAAAGAGCGAGCAGCGCAAGGTGGTGCGAAGTAGGAAATACATAGTTCTCAGCGGCTGCATGCACCACACTTTATTGATGATTTTAGCTACCTCGGCTTGTGCAAATCGTCTTTCTAAAATATGATTTAAATAGATTATGTTGTTTCCGTGATCCATGACTAAATTCCTTCAAAATAAAAATAAAGTTAACCGCGCTCGAGAATATCCAGGTAACGTCTCATTTAATTTTCTCATTATTGAAATGTACACTTTTCTGCATGTAATTAATTTACCTTGCCTTAATCTGACGCACTCAAGTTTTTCTAACGATTAATTTTTTTCTTTTCTAATCGGATCGGCTGCCCTAGACACTCGACGCTATATAAAGGGCTCGGTATGGTGGGAGTACTGAACAGGGTGAAAGGTTTTTCCTCTCGTAAAATTCTGCCGCGTTTGAATAAATTTCAAAATCCCCGCTTGGGCTCTCCTACTATTATGTATTATGTAACAATAGACATACCTTAGCATCAGCCAATTCTGCTGCAAGTGCATTTTGATTTTCTCTAGTTATTTCTAAAATTCGTAACGTGTGTTCGTGTTCGGTTGATAGCTGTGAAAAGATAATTAAGAATTACACAAATACCTTTTTATTTAAATTAGCGTAAATTTATATTATATTTTTACTCCTTCAGCCTCTGGCCACACAATGACTGCTGGACATGGGCTCTTCTAAGAATTAGCCAACAGCCATAGATTTCTCGAGAGCTTTGTACCATACTAATCACATTGAGCAGACACTTTGAGTGCAGAGCTGGTGCCATGGCACTAACCCTACTATATTTCCTGCCCGGCAGGTCCTTTTAAATTAACTGCACCGAACGTAAAGACTTTATAATGAAGTCTGTGTAAAACACCCAGATTAGAATCACAAAACACATAAATAAATAAGGCTAGCCCTAAGTCAAGATTCCATCCATTCCACCCTTGGCACTCCACTCACCATCACGGAGGCTGCGGGCTCGTTTATCACCCTTATTCTATCAAAAAATAAAAGTGGGGCATTTCACCTTGCGGAAGGAGTGAAAGGGAATCTATCACCTAATACCGTCCGGTGGAAGACATAAAAGGTGACTAGGGAAATGCTGGAAAGATCTGTGATGTCGGTATGACCATCTTTTTATGTTAGTAGTTTAAAAAGGCCCAGACCGGCAACGGGGAGCTGCGTCAAATAGAGGTCAATCAGCCATGTGTTCCAAACGTAACTATGCAGCATATTTTTGAGCTAGTGAAAAGAAGAAAAGTGTTGCGCTATGATAATGTCCCGTTGATATTCGCATATAGCCGTGTAGTGGCAGCGTTTGAAAACCCACTACTCCATCATACCGTGAGTGTCGTAAGAGGCCAAAAAGTGATACTGAAACAGGAGACTGGTTTGCTAACCATCTCCTGTTTCAGTTCATTCAAATCTTTAGGGGAGACCTTTGTTCAGCAGTGGTCTCCGATAGACCCTAATAATAATAAAAGATATTGATAATATATTTACCTGTTGCAAGTTGCGTTCTGTGACTATAAGTCTGGAATTTGAGGCGTCTAACTGCTGCTGCAGATCCGCAGCGCGCTGCCTCTCTTCGGCCAATTCAGAACTAAGTATATTGGCTTCGGAGTTGGCGCTCGCTAAAAAATTTCTTTACATTTTAAAACAACAAATATTAAAAATGCTAATAGTGTACGCGTATAATTATGGTTATTTAATTATGTTTATATCAGATATAAAGTTTATAAAAAAATCTCCAACTACCAATTTATGCAATATATGATTAGAAGTTTCATATTATGCTCCTATGCTAACAGTGTGTTGAATTATGACGTAGTTCTCAGCAACACATCATCCAGTACTCAGCAAATAAATTTGTTTTTGGTTATTTTTTTAGTCAAAATTTCAGATAAATGACAGCAGTTATATAATACTTAATATTCACAAATAGCAATAATAAACAGTTTATATGCAATTTCATATCAAAAATATGAGTGAAAATTCTCAAATTCGCAATTCACGTTATATTTTTATTAGTTGAAATACAATTGTTATCGTCGAGATTGAATAACTAAACATTATTAAACTTCAAAACGAAAAATGGCAACAATGTAATAATTTGAACAGCAAAATCTTTAATAAGTACATCTGATACAAGTTAAAACAATAACTTCTATACTTATGAAGAAAGTAAAAGTGAAACTGGCAAGCCATCTATTGTTAAAACAACCTTGATACTTATCAGATCACCGTTTGTTAGTTTGTTTCACCACTTAGGTACTAGAGTGTATGTATAATAATAGTACAAAAAGAAGCACAAAGAGTTCGACAAATAATTTCAATAACGTAATCATACAATAAGAATATAATATGATGCCAGATAAAATAAGTGTTGTTTGTATGATATTAGATTAGAGTCCTCCATATTTTAAAAACTTACTGAAACAAGTATATGAATAATAATAATCTTCTTGCATTGTTCTGTAATCTTGGATTCTTCTTATCTTCCAGTTGATGATGGAAGGTTCGTTGAAACAAGTATGGTCTGACAGGGTGCAAGCCTTAGAGAAAACACGCTGCTAGGCCACCTTGTTACACCGAACCCTTGTTCTTCGTCTTTATATGACAACCAATGTATTATTTCAATGCAATATTTACACGTATTTGCCTTTTTATATTTTTATCATCCAAACAAATACGCAAATAAGAGTGATAAACATTTTGTCACGTACTAGATATCGTCCTTATATAACACATTATCATTTTTACATATTTACGAAAGTAATAATATTTCTTATGCACATTATTCCCGACAACACTATTGTTTTAGATCATAAATGAAATAACTTTTTTCGGCATCTTCGTCGTCAGCCCGTAACTGTATACAGCTGGAAATGGTTTCCGTTTTAAGAAGGAAGAAGGAAGGAAGGCAGTCTCGGATTGGCGACAGCTTCCCATTGCCAATGTTAGTATTTTATATATAAATAAGAGATAAATAAGAAATAAGGGATTCCACAACTTTTTCTGCCACCAGAGCGGCGCCATTTTAGAATGAGGTGAAATATTTAACACTTCTCACAACAGGGAAGTTAATGTGTTAGAAAAGTGTAAAAATGTATGTTTTTTATTAAAATATTGGTTATATCTTGTATTAATTATATTTAGAAATGTATAAACCAAACTACAGATTTTTCTAAAAGTAGAAGATTCAAAATGTGCTAAAATTATAGAGCACTAAACTGAGGATTTGCATCTATATACAAACTAGAAACCGAAAACCTTTTATTTAAAACACAACTTTTCAATGATGATGACTCTGTGTCTCTGTCAACATTTCTGAGAAATTTCAAAAAAAAATGAACTAATCGCCATAGAAACAGTAAATTTTCAGTAAAAATTGACTTGATTTATGATCTAATATTGCTTGAAGTGTTTGTTCCCCAAGTTTATTATCTGAAGTCACTTAAATAGTTTTAATTAGTATTTACAAGCGGCGCCAACTCAAGGAGAGTGAACTCTAGAGAAGCCATGATAGTTCAGAAGCAAAGCGCTCGCCGTAAATTTCACAGTACGCGAGTAACCCTGGTTCGTTCCCCGCTGGTAACAATGAAATTGTTTACAAACTGCTGATTTACAACGTACTCGACGGTGAAAAAAAAAAATCGCGAAGAAACCTGCATGTCTATGAATTTAAAAAAAAAATTCCGAAACTATGTGAAGTTCCACCAACACGCACTGTGGCAGTGTGGCGGACACTTTCTTGGCCTACAACCTTCTCAAAAATGAGACGAGACCTGTGCATAATTTTTTAGTTCGTTTTTACGAGGGAGAGGGTTACTTTATGGTAAAAGGCATTAAAATCTCTTTATAAGGAATCTGGTGCATGTGTCAATAATTATTTGTAGTCCATATATATACTTTCTTCAATCCGGAATCGAAACTCCCAGCTCAAAGCACAGTTACCAACAAAGCAAAATACGCTACGGAGTCACCAAAATCGTACATTCCGTAAGTCATTATAGAAATTATAATTGGCTTCTTTGTCGCCCATTTTGCAATCATCGCTCATTGTACTGTATTGCATGGAACAATCGTAAGGTTTAAAGAGAGTTGACGACTTAATTACGACATAAAAGCCATGACAGATAACTTAAAACAACTTCACGGCATGGTGCAACGTAAGTGGAGTTCCTGTGTTTATCATTGTAGTTTCGATGTGTATTTTGCAATAGAACTAAAGGCGCATTTACTTGTAGTTTGTGCGTGATCAGATTGACTGGGAGCACATACTTTTATATGTGCGATCATACAAAAAATATAAAATCTGTATATTAGTTCGATAATTAAGATATACTGAAGAAGTTTCAAGATTCCGTCGAAGTGTTGAGAATCTGCAGTCTTATTGCTCGTGCGTAACTAGGCTAAATAAAGTCATAGCAGTAGATTCGATCACTCGCTCGATGTTCAGCTTTTTGACGGTTTTGGTATACTTGACTGATTATTCAACAAAAAAGTTATACTATTTTAAAGCTAATATTTAATATTTGTTACCTAAAACTTTGTTTTGAATGTTCGTTTAGACATACATAGATTACACAGTTTTTGCTTTTTTCTTTATTTCTTTCCCACGGTCGATGTCAATATTTCTGTAGTGTCATCAGCTATAATTTATGACAACGTCGGTCGCAAAACGATTTGACGCTTGCTTGAAGCGCATTTTGACTGACGTGTATTATGTTAGTTAATTATTGAAATCAAAATTAGTAAGACCACTAAATTAATACTAATTTATTTAGTTAAATTAGAACTTACAAAGTTGGTTGGCGATGTCCCTGAGCAGCTGTCGCTCAGCCAGCTCTGCGGAGTCCGCGCCGGCGGCGAGGCGCGCGGCCTCCTCCCGCAGAGCGCGGTTCTCTCTCTCCAGTGCGCAGGTTCGTTTCCGCAGAGCCACCGCTGTAGGTGGCTCCTGCTCTTCTGTTGGAGTGCCTTCCTCGGTGTCATTTGTTAGCACCTGCAATAAACGTTAACTGAAATTATTTAATTTCTCATTAAGAACAAAAACGTGGCTTGTGTTTTTATTTTCACTGTTAAGTCAATGATAAGGATAACTCTCCGGTTTTGTCTTCGACAATTTTTGAATACATTGGTAGATATCATATGCGCAAGAATTATTAATCACGCTTATAGAATTAAAAATTCAATAAAATTAAATAGACAAACTTCGTACCACACGGAGCATTTAGAAACAAATACTTTGACTCCGTCTACTACACCACCCATACATGGTGCCACATGGTATTGCAGTTATATACAAATACTTGAAAGTTTATTAACTGGTGATCATGTTAATTTTTTTTCCAATCCAACGTCTTAAAGTTTTAAACTTTTTTTTAATATAATTAACCACACATTTAATATACAAATTAGCAAACGAATTCGAGAGCCGGAATAGTAGTCTCCCATATTGATCTTTAATTTTGACCAAACATATTCTTCAACAAAATGTGTTTAGGTGTTGGGATGTTTTTAAATATAAATCCGTACATAAAATGACAAAAAACACAGAATAGATAACATTTAGGCTAGAACCACCTTAAGTAACATAAAGTAGCAGACAGATGATGGAAGGAACTGTTCCTTCTATCTATCTATAAATGCTATCAGTAATCAACCTGCATAGGGCGGCCTTCACTGCAAAAGCCATCACTACTACGGCAGAAAAATGTGCTCTATCCATCTGATATTTGATTAATATTTTTGGAACGAAGTTCCTTATCGGACGATACGGGTTTGGCGGATTTTTTCGTCACTACCCCTTGTGTCATAGTATATTTTATTTTAAATGACGCTTCATTTTAATAATTAATTTATATTTGTTAATCAATAATATAATACGTTTATCAATAATAATATACTATGGAGGGAACTTCGCTCCAACAGTTTCACGTCTTCGTTCCACGACACTCGCATGTTTTTTTTTTCTTTCTTAACATCCACGTAAAAAGACAGCGTAACAGACAAAACAAAAATTGTTAAGTACGTGGAAGTCCTTGCTAAATGTTGATGGTTCTTTTCAACGGATCAGAATCTGTGTTGGCTGTGAAGCACTGAGTGCTGACACATGGGCCACATTTTACGAGTACTTCTATACCGCTGTGACTAAAAATTGAAATTAGTTAAATTAATTTATATATATATATAATAACCTTGTTATTAGGCAACATTTCAGCATTTATACAATGACTAATTGATGAAGAAGTGCAGCACTATAAGAACAATAGCAGTGCAATCATCACAGCTAAAATAGTAAATGCACTCAAAGAATTAGCATTGTTTTATTGGAAATAGATTTGCTACTTTAAGTACACTTTGGCACGATCTTGTTCTTGAAATGTCAGCGCGGAGAATCCAGTAACAATAGGTGGTATGATAAAAAAAAATCATATGCAGGAATTACCATGCCGTGACGGTTTAAAAATATTCACTACCCAATATCGTAAGAGGCGATACGCTCTGTCGAAGACTAACAAACTAGAAGATGAACATTAGCGTCTTCCTAATAACATCTAGAAAATAAAAAACTGCGTTTGCCAACCCGCCTACCGAATGTGCAAAACTATGATAAGTATCCCGCTTATGAGGCAATCTACGAGGGCTTTAATAGGTTGTTATTATGATGGTGATGATGATGCCATGACACGGTTGCGGGTTACACATTTGTACTTACATGAACTTTGAAGCGCGATAGTTAAAAGTCTAAATGGTAACTGTATACAAATCGAATAATGTCATCATCAAACACTAAAGAAGTCGGTCTAAAAAAAGTTAGCAAAGCGACTGTTAGTTTTACCTGCAGCAAATCAGTTTTGACGCTGAGGTCGTGGCGGAGTTGAGTGACGAGATCCCGCGCGCTGCGCAGTTCTCCCTCGAGCGCAGTCACACGTGCCTCCAGCCGTCCGTTAGCAGCCAGCAGCTCCTTTCCAATACGGGCCGTCAGCTCCAAGTCCTTCTCTTTCTAAAACATTATAGCAAAATTAGGAGCAGCTTGAGAACTGTAATTAAAGCATTAAATAAAGACCGCAGTGATATAAATTTAACGCGAGTTAAATTATCGGATATATTATCGGATTCATGACTGCGTAGTCATGAATCCGATATATCAAAAACGTGTCCAAAATCCAATTTCATTCCGAAACCGCTATATTATACAACCAAGACATGATAGCGTCATTGTCATGAGCCATGCTGCAGCTAAATTAATAGTATAGTTGTAGCACGAATGGGTCGGCTCGACCGGGGAAGGACCACGCTCTCACAAAATGCCAGCGTAAAATAGCAGCTTAATTGTTGTATTTCGTATGGTGAGTGTGGAGAACCGGAGACCCTTTTTAGTGGAAAAGAGGCATTCTATCTTAGTTCTCACGGCTGACAACGCATCTGTATTTTAATTCGCAAACGAAGATAGATGTAGATGTCTATGGGCCACAGCAACCACTTACCATCAGGTGGACTGTGTGTTCGTTTGTCACCCTTATTCTATAAAAAAAAAACTCGCTTCCTTATAGCCGCCAAGGCCGTCTACACTACATCAAAAGGGGTCGTGATGGAAAAATCTTACACTTTTTCTCACCTAGCCCCCATCCGCCAAATGCGTACCGTCTGATAAGGAACTTCATTCCAAAATAATTCCCACATAGGTAACTTAATAGTTTCCGAAGCCTGGGCTTTAATTATTTGATACAACATTATGTAGTTGTATCTTAGCAGCTTAGCAGGTAATTCAGAAACTATTTATAAATTATATGGAAATTATTTTATTATTTTGAAGTTTGAGGTTGATTTTTACATTTTCTTATGTTTAAATATTTGAACCACTTTGAGTAGAATAAGCAATATCACAACGTCAAGGCAATAACTAAAATGTGTAAATAGTTCCATTAAAAATTACATACGCAATTTAAATTACACCGACCTTGAGGCTTATAGCGGCCTTATAACCTATTTATTAAAAATTAATACTATAATTAAAAGAATCGAGTTAAGAAGCTCTTCCTCTTTTTTTTTAACAGTATATTCCACGGTATATCACGGTAACTAAATTGACCTCGAGTAAACTCGATACGACGAACGCAAACGGTAGTGTAATTATTACCAACTACCAAACAATAGCTGATGATACGAATCCAAATCCAACCAACTTAAACCGCGCAATTGTTTGCTACGCACACAAACCAATGAGATTCGCTTAATTTTTTTTTCTAAATAAGCGACTAGCGGACTGAAAAATATGAAGCAGATTTACTACACTTGATAGATTTGAATTTCACCGGTTTCTTGTATTGTAATTGATCAAGCATTAAGCCTTGTGCTTTTGAGAATTCGTAATATACTCACACTTCTAAAACTACTTATTTTTAAATGCGTTCATTTGTGTTCACCGTTCGCAAATTAAACCAAAACTAGGCTATCGATCAAAACATGTGGTAATGGGGCTACTCCTGAACTTGATTTCAAAAAACCGGATTATGTACTCATGTTAATCGGATATATAACCATTTACGTAAAAATCCAAAAACAACTATGTCAGAAACATCATGTTTTACTTATTTTTCAAATTTTTACAAAAAAAAAAACAACCTTTAGCGGTTACCACGTAGTGTAACTATCTTTTATATCTATATTCTATACAAATAAATAAAACTGAAGTGTCTGTTTGTAATGTCGAAATAACTGCTTTTTACTATATGCATATGAAAGTTTATACGGTACTTATAACAAAAACACGATTTTTAAAATTTTTGTCTGTCTGTCTGTCTGTTTGTTCCGGCTAATCTCCGAAACGGCTGGACCGGTTTTCACCGGAATTTCACCGGCAGAGTGCTGATGTTATAAGAAGTAACTTAGGCTACTTTTATCTTAGAAAATGAATTATGATTCCGCGCAAAAAATTAAAACCCATGAAATCCAATCGTAATAAATTACGCGCGGGCGAAGTCGCGGGGAACAGCTAGTAAATAATAAATAATATTATGGTCTAAATAAGTTGAAGATTGACCAAGTTTAAAGTACTAATAACCAACAAGCATGTATATTATACATGGGTGTTATTTTATGTTAATCAGTGCATTATCTTTACCAACTTAGGAGACAATATTTTTTAAATGAAAGTACTTTACAATACAATGTTAGAAAAAAATTAAAAAAAATATACATACATAGAAAAATTAAATGTATTGACTTACTTCTTCTAAGAGCCGTGTTACCGCTTCGATGTCATTGTAGGTTTTTGTCATTTGGCTCACCCTGTTGCTGCATAGAACTGTAAGCAGAATGCTACGTTTGTAACAGGAAATAATAATAACGGTAGAAGTCTTCGCACTGGAGTGCGACTAATGTATTGTCAAATAGATATAAATTATTTCATGATAAAATATAATTATGTAACTTGGGAATATTTTCTAATAGATTACTCCAAATAACTTTATTTTATCGTAATCACTTTATAATTCTTTATCACAAAAGTATGTCAAATAGTATTATTAAATAGATTGTTGTTACAACTGAAAAAAATTAAAATGGAGAAAAATATAAAACAACACAATAAAATAAAAGCATAAAAAGCGTGAATAGTGTATAAGTTATGTAATATTAACTAATTACAAGAACACCATAATTATCATGTGTTTTAATAAAAAAAGTACACAAGGACCCTGCAGATTAGATTATTAATCTTATATTCTTAATATTTATATGTTTAAAAAAATGCATCACAAAAGAAAAAAAATTTTGCCCAACTTATAGCCTCATACTATGAACATTTTACATACTTATTATATATATTAACTAGTAAATATTGTATTAAGTATAGAACTAAGTTTTAATAATTAAATTTTAATTTTAATTAAATAAATAAATTATTAAATAAGATAAAAACTGTTGTAATATCCTGGAAGATTTAATGGAGCAAAAAAATTACTATAATATTTTAAGAGTACATTAATATTGTTTCAATCAATGACCTCACGACCAAGATGCATGCAACGACCGAAACGAGAGGAGAACTACATTTTCACATTTCAACTTTCTCTGCATGTTCATATCTAATGAAACGGTATGAATTAAAGTCTTAACAATAGTATGAAGCAACACCGTACCCGACATAATAGAAAATTCAACAAACGCTTAAAAGAGTATTTAGCTAAAAGCAAAACCGCATGAACTGAGGTGCACTGAAGCGTTTAATCACCGTCGATCAGAATCAAACTGATAAGATAGGTACTGAGCGTCATTAAAGGATATTATTGTTTATCTCTAAATATTTATAATAAACACTGACCCGTTATGATGTCGTCGAAATTGTTTTGCGGGTTCATTGAAACAAACTATGTAAACAACATACTTCAGAGTATCACAATACAAATAAAATTACAAATGACAAATTAGAAATTAATAGAAAATGAAGTAAGAAAATCGGTACACTTGTACCATCCAAACGATCGTACGTTGTACTGAGTACGCTGAGTGTGCTGCGGGCTCAGAGGGCAGGCAAAACAAAGTATTCCATTGTGCAACATGGGAAAAATGGAATACAAGAGACAAAACATGCTCGTAAAAATTGATACGTTTGAAATTCCAACGAACACATAATTCAAGCATTACCACAACAAGCTCTTTAAAAAAAATATCTCTTGTTATTTAGTCAATAAAAAAAAATATTCTTGATCGCTTCTCAACGGCTATGCTTTCCGTCATACAACATAACACTCATCAGCACGAAACTTTCTTTGTTTGAGGTTTTCTTCGGTTATCAGTTGGGCAGCAGTACCACCTACCATCAGATGGACGGTTACGTGAATCAACGTAATTCTAATCGTAAATATTAAGAAAAGAAAATAGAGTCGAAAGCATCCATTAAAATACATAAAAAAGTTGACAGTATTAATTAAACAGAAAATCATAACCACTTGTACCTAAAACTGTGAAATCAGAATCGTATACGTTCTCTTATCATATGAAAACAATACCATTCCTGAAATAAATTAAAAGTCATGCATGAAGATAGATTAAAAGAAATTTGAATATCTTTTTTGGTAATTAGACTGGGCAGTTTTTTCTCCATAAATTTAATTTAAATTCATTTAAAGTATTTTTATAATCTATTATTGTATACATGCACATTTAAAATTAATGTATTCACCATAGCAAGCGGTATCTTAATCAATCACCAGCCTTCTAGACTATTAGTCATCATAAAATGTCTACTTAATTGCAGTGTACTCTTGCTTAACGCAGTCCCTACAAATGTAGTTGTTATCTAGTAAAGAGCATCATCGCTATGACTGTTTTCTACCACCACAAGAACCTCATGGGAAAAACGTATTAATAGAAGCATTCATCGAGTTGCTTGTAATTTTTTCCCTTCTCTTACCTAACATTTCGCGCAATGTAACAGCGGATATCGATTATTAACAGATGCTTCTCTTACAACCTGTTTTACTGATCGTTGAGACTAACTGTTTTTACGCAGTGAAGTTTCCGCGTAGTAGCTACTTAAGATGCTCCACCGTTTCGATTTAATTGACTAGGTAAATTACCCAAGCAAGTTAATTACATCTGCAAGTTTTGAGAACTATCAAAAGTATAAAAAAATCTTATGTAGGTATATTTTTTATAAAGAAATTATCATTTTAACTGGTCTTATTTTATGATTTTAATTAGATTTACGAAACATCGAAAGACATTAAACAAAAATCTAAAAACAATACTGTGCAGTTTTTAGGATCCACGTGCGGTGAAGTTCCTTGGATCGTCGACTTTTCATCGCCGCTTGCAAGTTCCTTTTCTTGCTCAAAGGAGAGAAACGCAGCCAGCGTTCTTGGCACTATACCTACCTACCGCGTGCATTTGGACTTTATGATAATATGTGTTCAGTTTTTTTTTATGGTAATGAATATTGTATAAATTAAAGTTAGGTTTTAATCAACATGAATTTTTTATTTTAAAATTATTACCGTTTATAGTTTTGCAATTTGCATTATTTAATATTTATGTACAAACGTATTAGTTGAACATTTTCTCAGTTTGAAATAATATTATAAATTTGAATAAACTTGCAAAATGTTGTTAAGTTTTTACCACATAAAATAAGTAGTAGGGTACGTTGGGGTAAGATCGGTGATGGGGCAAGACCGTAGGATTCAAATTCCCGGCGAATTATGCTATATTTTGAAATGCTAACAAAATGCTACACGACGCCATTTCATCCTACCCCGACCCTTAGTTCGCGCCAGTCACTCCGGCAAGTGGGACCTGTGCTGCGCGGTATTTTATAAAACAATGTAATTTTTGTAATATTTTTGTCCATCCGATCTTTCCCTATCACTTTTATTTACGATTTTCACCGAGAATATGGCTTCTTTTGTTATTATTTTGTGTGAATACTAAGTTTTATGAAGTTATAGCTAAATAAAGCTGGTCCATGCAGGGCTAAGATCGCTGTTGGCCGAGATCCGATATTTCCCCGCGTGAGTGAAGATCGGATGAATATTATCCGATCTTTGCCCATTACAAATATGGCAGTGGTTGTTAAACTTTCATTGGTCGTGTATATTTTTTCGGAGACGAGTAATCTGACTATGGGACTCAATCTCGCTAGCAAGTCTGTATATTTAAAAGTAATAAAACAATACGATGGTTTTATTACTTTTAAGTACGCAATGAAATACATTTTTATAGGATAAGGGTGACAAAGGAGCACACAGTCCAACCGATGTTAAGCGGTTGCTGATGCCGATAGATATCTACATCCATCCTCTATCACAAATCAAAATGTAATTTATAATAATTATTTAAAAAATAATTTATAATAATAAATTACATATTTATCTCATTAGATAAAGTTTAGAACTAATTCTGTTTCACGGGAAACTTTCAACCCACGTTCCTTTTCCTAGTCTAGTTACTGCTTTACTTTTTCCGACTTCATGACTTATTCTGATTCTAATTAACTCTATAAATAAGCTCACGCCTGCTTATTGATATTTGATACACATACAAATATACACACAAAATAATCTATCAATTAACTACTTACCTAACTACCTGCTTCGTCATATGCCGCTTTGATAAAATATTTACATCTTCCTCAACTCCTGTATTATCCCAGGGCATTTCGCCAGTGCTTACTGTTAATTTTTTTCCCATAATAAAATCAAATGCATCCGATCTCTCCCTTATATTGAGTAATTCCATCTTATGTCATAACAAAGTTTGAGAAACAAAATTATAATTTCTTTATATCAGGGATAAGATCGGATGCCAAGAAACAAAAAAAAAGAGAAAATCGTTTGGAAAAATTTATGTTTCTAGTAATTTATAGATCATATTGAAATATGTTTTTGAGCGTTAAATATAGGACAAATCTCTTTTATAAACTTTGTTCTCTAATCAGTAGAAGTGGTTTTAAATTTAAGTCCGGTCTTACCCCTTAATGGCCAATTTTTCATTATGCATATAAAAAAGTATGTCTAGGTTTCGCACACTTTTAAAGCAGAAACCGTTAAGTTTACACAAGCAAAAGATTCTCTGAGCTAAACTTCGTTTAACGATTAACGGTTTGCTCCACGTTCCAGAAATCTGACGTATACGGATGTCGAGAAATTAAAGTTTTTGGCAGACTCTTCCAACTATTCGAACATCCGTCCGGTATTACCCCAACGCACCTTAGTAGAAGTAGTAGAAATAGTTTTACAATTAATAATCGTTATATTTTACAATTAAGTTGCATTATAATATTTTAACTTTAGTCGTGTATGTATAGCTTGAAATAAAAGCATCAAAATAGAATTTTTATAAATGGACTTGTAATTTACGCAGGACATACCTAAAACAGGAATAGCTTTGTTATTTACATCCCATCGGATGCGTGCCAAACGCATACCACGTGTCAAGGCAAGCCGAATCTTTTACATTCAATTTCTCGAACTGTAGACCGCACGTCTACATAAATTAATTAAATTAACATTACATTCTAGCACAAAATAATTAAGTAGGTAGGTATTCTACGCAAATATTCAATCCAGTTGTTGCTCTAGTTTTAAATAGGAATAACTACCTAAAAATAAATTATTAAATATATTTCTAGCATCGCATCGTTAGAACATACCCGTATCTCGTTTAATAATAGTGCAAAAGCGGTTTCTGTGCAAACCATAAACTTGTTAGAATGTAACTAACATTTTTACAAGCATCGCATTGAATTGTTTTATACATTTTGACAACCACGTTTTAAGCTGTTCATGTTTTTTATAGACATAATAT